CCTCATTAACCGTGCGGGGGATTGCACACAGAGTGCCGACTGTCTGTGTCACATGTGCAGCAGCTGGCTTTAAGCACACTGTAAAAATAAAGTTTAACAGGAAACAACTCTGTCAAACAGAAATCCACCCAAACACTGCTATGCATTATGGGCCGCCCTGGCACACTGCCTAGATTATTTAGCATGTGCATAAATATGTTGTTGGGTGCTTGCTTGAATGTGTGCGACATAAAAGCAAAAGCTGAAGACATCCTGCTAAGATAACTTCGAGATTTGGCTTCTTTTATGCTTCACACACAAATGCACACGTCGACCTAGATGATTGTAGCTGATTTTTTTTAGCCTCATCTGAACACCATGTGTGTTTATATGTGAGGTTTCTACGTCACTTTTAAAGCACCTCACACACTCACAGCAAGTCAGACATGTTTACTAGCTCAGCACAGAGGAATACGCACGCTGTCCCTCGTCTGTTTTAAACTTTAATCAGAGGTGAGGTTCTCTGAAGTTCTCTGAAGTTGCTTAGAGCTTCCTCATCTTCCTCTCTAAGCGGATAGGGTGGCGACTCTTTAAGCAGATAGTGCAGTGGTTAAGAAAATATGCCAAGTGTGTTTGGGTCAACATTAAGAGCCAGGTTTTGGTGGACAGGATGGAAGACAGAAGTTTGGAGGGTTTAACATGAAATCCGTGGATTTTCAGCCATCATGTCCAAACTTTTCTGCCGTTGCAGGCGTGCGTTTTAATCATCCCCTCCGCCCTTCTTCTGGAAGCTTCACCTGCTTATGGATTTCTGACTCTTTTTAAGTGGATTTCTCAGTCAGCTTATTGAACTGCTGCCGACTGACTCTCAGGATTTTCCCCGTTCTTTACACAAATGTGTACTGACACACTTGCTGTACTGTGGTGCATCAGTTACAACACTTGAGTCAGAAAGCTGCTCAAATTTTGTTCGCACAGATGCCACATTGAGATTTGACAAACTCATTAACCATTCATGTCACATATCAGACTTGATCTTCAAGGACTCTAATATCCTGTTGCAACATCCCACTGAAGCGTGGTGTGTGTGTGCGTGTGTGTGTGTGTGTGTGTGTGTGCTGTGTGTGTGTGTGTGTGTGTGTGTGTGTCTGTGTGTGTGTGTGTGTGTGTGTGTGTGTGTGTGTGTGTGAGTGAGAATGCATGAAAGCACATTTGTGTGATTTAGCATGTGTTTGTCCGTCCTGTCCAGATGTGCAGGAATGGCTGAATGTTGTAATGCTTCCTGTTTTGCAAACCGTCTGAGGTCAGCCGAGGGCTGTAACGTTAGGCTGAGTGGAGTCGGAGCTCACAAAAAAATAAACAGGAGGGGAAACAAAATACAAAATAAATGAAGGTCTCATTAGATTGAAAAGTTCTTACACACCTGTTTCACGTGTTTTGCAAGCATGCCCTAAATCTAAAAAAAATTTCACAGGTTTTATTTGCATCCTGTTTGTCGTATTTCTGCATGTCACTTGTCAGGAATGCTATAATGATTGTCTTTGCAGCACACAAATAGGCATAAAGCCACCACTGGAAGTACACACATTGCTGTAAGTACAGATATTTTATAGTGTAAAACCAGTGACGCTCAACCACACCAATATATCACGGGACAAGCGTTTCGTGGCCTGAGGAAGGTTATCGTGGCTGCAACATGTGTGCACGCACGTGCACAGGACAGAGACAGATGAACTCCGGAGGGAAGGAGGAAAGAATAGAAATGGTAGTCATTACTCTAACCTTCATTCATATTCCACAAAAGTGAATCCCTTCACTGGTGACGACACACACTCTCACACTCGTGTGCCAGCAGATACACAAACCCTCATTTTACAGCCACGACACAGAAGCACACTTTCAAAGAAGGATGGGATGTTGCCACACAAACATACTCACACACACACAGAAAATAGCAGAGCACTCCTGCAAGGACGGAGCCATTAGTGTATCTGTGGGGAGTTTGTTTGTTTCTAATGGAGAGGGGAGTCAAGTCACTCAAGAGAGAAAACCAAGTGGACGGCAGTTTTTTCCTCACTTTTCTCACTCACTGCATCTGCTACCCATCAAATAATCACTGCGGCACTCCTACCTCCTGCTCTTCTTTTCAAGCTAACGACATTTTTGTTTTTCACCTTTGATTTTCATAAAATATAATCAAAAAGACAAAAAGTTGAAATGGATTCACCCACCAGCTCCTTCCTCGTCCTCCGCTGCGGTTATAAATCTATTAAAGAAAACCCATAAATGAGTCACTGTTGCACTGAGTGTCGGTCTCTATCATTAGAACTAAAGACAGGCACTGCGATTCATTTTGAGTCAGTCCTACGTACACGGCTCTACAGACCCACTGAATATTTGTGTGCAGCTGAAAGCAGTCTCCATCCAAACCACTTGAAGCCCTGAGGACCGTGTAAACATCTGGCTTTGCTGCTTTTAAGGGTCAGGAACGTGGCTCCTGAACAAATCTGACAAATCAAAGGGCAGAAATTAATTTTGACAAGCTTTGACCTGACCACACTCAACGGGACAAAAAAAACTAAAAAAGGGGGCAGTGGGTTTTTTTGCGTATCGATGTACATTTGTGTTGCCTTACCATCTGTCCTCTTGTTGTGGTGCAGTAGGCAGAGTATGGCTTCCAAAAATAAAACGCCTGCTCACTTTCCTCCTTCGTACCAAAGCTGCTTTGAAGTCTGTCAGTTTGTTTTGTGTCTCTGACTGAGAGCAGAGTCGCATTAAGATGGAGATACTGGCCTGTGTGTGCACTTACAGCAACAGTCTCGCTCAGACTCGCTGACTCTCATTTCAAGCGTCTGAGTGGGCCGTTATGAAAGGTGCCTCGGCCAGCTCTTCAGAGCAGGAGCGTGTTCACGAGTGTGTCGAGAAGAGGCAGGTGGATCCGCACGCACTCAGTGTAAACCAAATCAGTGTAACTCATCTGCAGCCCTGGGGAGCAGCCAGCCCTGACAGGGATATTTGCATCCCTAATTCCCTTAACGCTACTGCCTCTACGTCCCCCCCACACGCCAGCTGGGACCACCGAGGCCAGGGCAGAGGCAGGACAGGAAGTCACACTCACACATACACACGATAACACAGACCGTATCCAATCAATTTGACGCCAATGTTAAACAAAGCTCCCATTTAAGGTAATTAAAATCGCCCAATTAAAGCCCGCAGTTGTGTGTTTGTGTTTGTGTGTGTGCGCGCGCACACGTGAGCCTTTCAGACTTTTTTGTTTGCATGTATTCAGGCTTCTTTGTTCCTGCTAAACCTTTTGTATGACCGCATTACCTAAAACGAACATTTTAAGGATAAAAAGTGTCTTCTTACAGCTCGGATTTCCTCACAGCTTTCACACGAGTGCTCCCACATAACAAAGCCGGACTATTTTTTGTGATTAAACATTCCCAGTGTGTGTATGTGAATGTGAGCCACAAAGGTTTGCATCTCAATGACTTCACATTGAGCTGCCCGTCCCCAGGGCCCTTCCAATCAATTGTCTACGTGGCCGTCCTGTATAGGAAAAAGCAAAATCAATCCAGCTTCATAAATCTGCTCTGACGTTTTCCTCACTGTGTCTCAGTGTGTTTGCACGTGACGAGATGCAACGTACAAATGTACGTGTTCATTCAGCAGCTGTTGTTGAGAGTGGCAGTTAATAATTAGCCCCCCCTCACTCATTAGCATGACCTCTCCACCCCGTCACCTCCTCACTAACCAGCTGGACTGATTCCTAGGAGTGCCTGCTGTCTGTGTGTACGTGTGTGGCTATTTTCAGCAGCTAGGCCCCGTTTGCTGTAAATTTTAATGCAACAGTCCAGCTGACAAAGAAGCTACTACTACAGTAATATAAGCAACTTTAAATATATTGCAACAAAATGTATATGTAAACATGAACACGTGAAGCGTAGATATCACGTATTTGCTCGGCCAGAACGACTCTGTGACAGTCATGGATGTACTGATCTGATGTCATCCCTCATGTGCTGTGCGTGCTTAGGAGCCAGCTGGTCAGTTCTAATGGTCTATTGAACTGAACCTCGGGGTGAACTGAGTGCCCCATATCTGCCACCATAACACTTTTATTACCATCTCCTCGTTCGACACAAAAACATGTCAGGGAGTCGGAGAGAGCAGGGGTCAAAGCCAGTGAGGCGTCTTTGTTTCTGGCTACATGGAGTAAAAGTGGAAGCAGTTTGACACATTTGAGTAAAATTAGGTTCAATTTATTAGTAGTAAATTCCTAAGCATAAATACTGGATATCTGCATTGATTTATTAAGAATTTTCAGCCAGTTTTATTTGCAATCACACTCACACATAAACACATACGGTACATGTACACATGTGTGAAACAGCAGTGTAGCTACACCACTCAGCATGACGCCACGTGGCGTAATCTCAGTAGATTATAGCATATTAGGAAGGGGTGAGACAAATGTCAGTATGTCCCTTGATGGGATGACGTGTAAAAGGCTTTTGATTTATTCTGGCAGTGACAAAGTAGAGGGCAAGGAGGCACTATGAAATAAGCAAACACCAGGGCGTTGTGTTAGAGCTGTGTGGGTTTAAAGGCCTCCTGTTGTTTCGTCTGTCTGCATCATATTTAATTTATTTTGCTCTACTACCATCTGGGGAAAAATAAACCTGCTTACTCTGCATTCTCTTATCTGGGAGTCCTTCTAGTTTCACCATTTAAGTCCATAGTTGTAGAGTTTTTTCTGGCTTTGTTTTCATTATTGCATGCAATCCTAGATATTGCCACTGGGTGGATGAATTGAACACTGAATGATTATTAACCTATGCAGTCCACTGCAAGCATTTCTAATATAGAAAAACTTCACTGATTGGGTTTCAATTAATATTTTATTGTGCATCTGTATTCATTAAGCTCCTGTTCAAACGCACATGGACATTTTTAAGTTGCAGCATGACAATTTTTTGTGGTTAAGATCACTCACGTGTGTGTACCCCCTGCAGACCCAGAGTCCCAGAGGAAAAGGACGGTGCAGAATGTTCTGGACCTTCGACAGAACCTGGAGGAAACCATGACCAGCCTGAGAGGGGTGCAGCTCAGCCACAGGTCAGCAGTGTCAGGGTTGTTTCTCCTCTCTTCACATGAACTGAAAATAACTGATAGTAGCACAGATGCTGGGAAAAGGCTCATTGTGCAGGTGAAGTAACAACATCATTTTTGATTACTGAGAAAAGTATTAATTTGGAACAAACTGCATGCAGACAAACCGGTTTCCAAAGCAAAGGAAAAGAAAAATAGCAGGTCAGAGTAAAAAATAGTAACAGGTAGGATGGGCGGGTTGTTGTGTGTTTTGGGGTGAGCTGGTTGCATGAAGGCTCTGAGATCAAGATCGGTATTGTGAGTAAGTTGGTGTGTAATTTCCCACCTCCTCTTTGCTCTCTTTGAGTTGGTTGAAATGGGAGAGAAGCAGGATTAGCTCAAAGCTGGCTTCAAAGCAAACCCTTCCAATGCACACTCACGACTCGCATCTACACACACAAGAAGACGTGCAATGATGCGCTGATTAATTGCACCGGTGCTTCCTCTGTTTCCTGGGCTGGGTTCTAGTTGAGTTCGCCATATCCCCACACTTTGTCCTTGAGAGCTTCCGTCCGCCTGTCCATGAGTCTCCTGCTATGTGTCCTATCTGTGTCCCTCAGTGGGAGTCTCCCTTCATGTAAAGTAAATCAGCAGATGCTTCCCTGCTGGAATACATTTCCTTTGCCATTCATATTTTTATTTCACGGTAATAACGTTGAATCTCTCCCTGTTATGCCAAAAATGGAAGATTCACGTGTGAGCGTGATGTCGCATATCCGGTGAATAAAGGGTACTTAGGAGGGAACATTTATATGAATACAACAAGCGGATTAGTGAGCAAGCAAATTGTTTTCTTTACACATATTTTACTTGATATACTGAATAAACATAACAAACAGAAAGCCTGTGAAAATCTGTGTGGGCACGGCTCCACTTCCTTTCTGCCTGTTTAACATTAGCACTTTTAAAACTGTCTTTATTATTGGCTGGTTCCGCTTTGTTCTGTATCATGCAGAGAGGATTAATTTTAATGTAGCAAGCAAACGCATGTGCTGCCACACAGTTTGAGCGCTAGCAACTTTTAATATGCTAATTCTCATCACTGTCAGTGCAGACACTAAGCGTCGATGTGCTGCGCTGGCTTGGAACAGGACATTTATGCACTTTGTACACATTTCTACAAATATATGCCTGCATAAAGTAGGCACGTATTTACGTGGAGCATAGAGCAACACAAAGGAATGTGAAAACACATGCACCTCACATATAGCTTGCATGTGTACATATATGCAAACATGCACATCTCAGCTCGTGCATGCTTTTTAAATCGTGATGTTCCACTGAGAGAGGAGGATACAGGGTGGGGAGAGATTGATTGAAATCGAAGCGGAAATGAAACGCAGATATTCATTTCCTGCCTGTTAAAAATGTAGCTGTGAATAATTATTTTCATCACCTAAAAACTGTCTTTTTGTTTGTCTTTCCACAGCTGTGCAGAGGGGACTATGTGCTACGACAGCGATGAAGCCGCTGCCTTCTCAGTTTCCAGTCTGTCAAATCGTTCCTCTCCGCTGTCATGGCGTCAGGGTCAAGCTAGCCCTCGTCTCCAAGCTGGTGATGCTCCGTCCACGGGTAACGCCCACTCAGAAGTGCCCCTCAGGATCAGCCACGCATCTCGTATCCACCTTATCGAATCCCTGGACGACTCCAACCCGACCCTCCTGAAGGGAGATTACCTCAGCGACAGTGACCTCGGCGGGAAGAGCCCAAATGAAGATGATGACGAAGATGATGATGATATTGATGATCTGGGCAATGGGTAAGTTATTCTTTTATGTGGACAGCACATGGAAAGCTAACTAAGAAAACAGGCCACATTAATGGTCTTACCATTTCTTGTGAGGTGAATCCTGCCACCTGCCAGTTGTTACAATCCTAGAGCCACAGACAGAAGTGGAGTTAGTGGTTTGCCAGCACAACAAAGTCTTGATGAGCCCATCTGCAATGAATCACACCTCTTTCATAATGCCTGCCATGACATTGTCAGCTGTAGCCTCCCTCGTGCAGTTGGCTCTGCTATAGTCAGAAAGCAGCCCTGAGGCAAAGTCCGAAAATGATGTCAGCATTATGGAGCCCCTCACAGAGATCATCCTGTCATTCAGCTGCAGGCCCACTGGCTTCACCAGCAGGTTTCCATGTGCAGGACCCTTAACGACGCTGGCTCACCAGAACCTGCTGGCAAAGCTGGAATGCAAATGTCTTTGGAAAACTGGTCACTAAACCTGCCTAGCCAATGAGAGCGCAGCCAGAGCTCGTCATGGCCAGAATAGTTTTTGTTTTGAAGTAGCCATGGATTTCTTGGAACAAATGATTAAATTTTGTGGTGAGGTCACATCATAGAACAAAACATGAGCTCCAGAACTGTTCATCAGCATGTTTGTTGTGTCGTGTAGCAGCTTTAACCCGGGGAGGTCCACGCAGTCGAAACTTTGTTTCTCTTTTCTAATTGAGCTCGACAAAAACAAGAGTATTTATGATGTGAGACAAAACCCCTTAGAGACCACAGCTGGCTGTTCCCCGTGTTTCTGTGGCAGCAAATACTGAGCAGTTTATAAGAGGAGGGTCGCTATGTTCGTTTGTTATCAGCCAGACAATTAGACCAGAGTGAAATAATCCCAGTCAGATCGAGGTTAATGAGAGTGCTTTCGGATTTTTGCGCTGATATAATTACTGACAAGATTGCGTGTTGTTCCTCCATGAACTCGAGTAGTTCTTCGAGTTAGATGGACGGGTCATAGGAGTGACCATCCTGGCAGCTGCTCTTTATGCTCAAATTTTTACCGATCGTTACCTGGTGACGCCATTACCAGTCGTGCAGAATTACAAGACGCCCAACAATTCACCAACAGAAGAAATCAAGTTTCGAGGATTTGCTAAAGAATGACCTAAGCTGTGTTCTCTGGACTTTCTCGGTTAGTTTTGGACAACTTGCAGCTCTTGCCCCACTATGAGCAGATATGACACAACAGTTTTAACTCAACTGTAGACACGGCGTCGCATTTCACTGGCCAGCTCCAAGCACCGTGAACAAAAACACATTATCTTATAAACTGTGAGTGTGGCAGTGTGGGTGTGACCTGCAGAGCTTGTCCAACTAAACCTTTTTTTTTTTTAAAAGAGCTTGTCCTGGCCACACTTTGACATCTCCATAGTAACTGCAAAAATGCACCCCCAGTCACCAGGAAATCAGTTGCGACACAGTTCACATCCCTTTATTGCGTTACTGGGGATCTGGTCATGGCTGATTAGTGGTTGTACAGGTTTATGTTGTGTTTTGTGTTAGGAGGCTAAAAGAGGAGCAACAATAGTTGGCAGACTAAAGGAAAAAGATTGAGAAACAGAGGTGACAGCGGTGACAGAGTAGGCTCACAAACTCATACTGAGGCAAACATAAAGGGAAAAACAGCCTTTTTGTTTGTGCCTTCTGTTTAACATAGAACTGTGAAAGACAGAAATACAATAGTAATGATTCAGGGTTGATCCTCTAAACTTTAAAGCTGGGCTAAACACTGGTTTCTAGCAAGGGGTAAAGGTAGTGCTGACACATAGGCTCTAACTTAGGCTGCGTTCACACTGCAGGCGAAAGCGCATCAAATCCGATTTTTTTGACCCACGCGACCCATCTATCCGATCATGGTGTGACAGTGTGAACAGCACAAATCCGATATTTTCAAATCCGATCTGGGTCACTTTCGTATGTGGTGCTGAATCCGATACATTTGTGCCGTTCACACTGTCACACCATGATCGGATAGATGGGTCGCATAGGTCAAAAAAATCGGATTTGATGCGCTTTCGCCTGCAGTGTGAACGTAGCCATATTGTCCAAATGTAGATTAAGATTTCGGTTCTGGAGATTAACTAATCTTTATTTTATTTTTTACGGTTGGTTAATTTGTATTGTCCTGATCTGGAATCCGATGGATGTTGGTAAGAGTCAAACTTAAAGAAAAAAGCTTCTTAAAACAAAAGTTATCAAAACGTTTCAGCAGTTTTTCTGTGTGCGATTCTGTACATGTATTGTGTCCTGGTGACCATGTTTAAATGTGTGCTTCTATAACTGCGTAAATAAACACCCAGTGGTATTACCGAGTCCTACAGAGGGGATGAAGCCCTGAAATGTTCATCTTTATCTTCTTTTTTTTTCAAATAACTTTTACATGACCCAAGAAGTCTTGTCTGGTCGTGCCTAATGCTCCGTTATACTGTAACCTGTGTAATACACAGGTGTTTGCTTGCTGCGGTTTCAAACTACACACCTAATATATATATTTTACCACTAGAGGGCAGAATTGTCTTGTTCTGTGCTGGTCCCTCCACCCTTTGAGCTTTGAGAGCCCCAGTGCTCCATTTCTCCCTCTTAGCCCATAAGTTATTACACATACTTATCCATTATACATGCAGACACCACCCTGTCATACAGAGGTCGCACTACATATCTCCTCCTGTATATAATACACAGGATTTCCCCTTATGCATTATGCATTGTTTGGATTTTGTATTTCTCATCTCTTTGTTCTTCAAATGAAAGTGAAACAGAAGCAAACAAAATTCTTTCACAACATTCTCATTTTTGTCCTTAAACATGTGCAGATGACCATGTGACTCACTGCTGGACTCATCATGGCTCACATGAGTCACATGCACATACTAAGTTTACCGTGACTATACGTGGCTGAGCACGGACCCCATGTACTCACGCACACACGCTGAGTCATGATCCCGTCACTCAGTTATCTGTTTCCTGTGCTTTTCAAGCCTGGGCCTCTACTTACATCTGGAGCCAAGTCCCCCTCCCAGTATTTCCCCTGGACTCCCACTCATGTACGCGTCATTCAGATTTGTTCAATTGTTGCAGTGATTTACTTTGTGTAACCTGCACAAATATAAACGAAAGTTTTTGTGCAAATAATGCAGATCAACAGCATGTTTGCATATATACAGCCACGGGAAGCATTCGTTATTTGATCTTTACTTTAATTCATTTAAGTAAAAATACAGTTGGACAATAATATAAACTTGAGAGTTTGTGTCATTTTTAAATTAAAGGAAAAACAGCTTTTTGTTTTCTGCTCTCATAGATTTGATATTCAAAGGTAAGTTGCCATTTAAAGGCATAAAAACATATCATTACGTATTCATCACAGTGCAAACAGTCCGGTGTGCAGAGAGGCACCAACACCACAAAGAGCAATGGGGTCGATTCTGTACTAAGTATTTGAAAATATTTGAGCTGGAGCTAAGATATTGTGCTCAGACTAGCTCTAGTTTGTGTGTGCATGTGACTATACGTGCATGACCAGTGTGACTGTAATGAGCGCGCCTGTGTCTGAGCATCACATTGTTGTGATGGACAGCGTTAATTGTGGTGATAATTGGCCTACATGCGCAAATTCACGTGTTAACAACTGGTTGAGTGTGCGCTGTTTTCCACCCTGCTGGGTGCAGACACTTTAGCTTCTGGGTGGAAGCGACCTCCCATTAGTAAACGCATAGTCTCCATGGTTACACCGCGAGACAGGCTGGCTCAGTGCACTAAATGTCTGAATTATGAAAACATCGTGGAACAGGACAGACGCACACACACACATGCACACGCACGCACGCACTCTAAGCTCCCTGAAGCGTTTCTGTCTGAGTGCTTTGATTTAGTGCCACGTGCGTTCTAAAGCAACAGCAGTGAGCTGGCTTCTCTGTCACTTCAGCTACAGAGAAGTGAAACACAAACAGGAATGTTTTAATAGAGAAGTAATGTGTTTTGAAAACCAGCGAGGCCTGGAATAGGCTTTGAGATCATCACTGGTTGCTTTAGCCTTGTGACGGCGACTAAATGTTTGGCCTCACAGACACTTTAGAGGTAAAGTTAAATCTAAAGCATTATTAATTTAGTGCAGTTCAATAGACCTTATCATTGCCTCTGATCCTTATCTCCTGTGTTACTGGGATGTACTCCAAACTCCTCTACATGTGTACTTTGAGTGGGTATGAATGTTATTGCAGCTTAAATTTGTTGGTCACCAACTCCATCTACTGGCCAAAAACAAGTACGTGTCACATATACATGTGTTAGCATGAAGATAGACACATCCTGAACCTTTTGATTCATGAATTCTTTTTCTTGCATCTGGTTTTGACCTGGTTACTAATTCACTCTCAGCCATGTAGGTCTTCCTTATTGCTGAGACCCCGAACTTTTACACTGTGACTCACACTGAGGTCCAATTACAAACCCCTCCCAAAATCAGCACAGCACTCTGCTCCACTCTAAATGTTGTTATAACTTCAGCTGTGATTAAAATGAAATATAGTGGGAGAAACGTGGAGAAAACACATTAAATTCAATGGTTTTTTGAGGGGTTTTTCCCTTCTGAGCATGAGCACAGTTGTGTTCACATCTCTCCCGTGTTAGGATGTTAAAGGTGAGACGCATGTATGGTCAGAAGAATCTAAAGAAAAGAGACCTGAATGGCTTTTAAGGCAAGTTTTGAGGCCTTCTCTTGAGTTGTAAAGATGATGCAGTTGTAGTGTTTATCGCAGTGAAGTTAAGTCACGTTTGCATAAATATATGTTATAGGTTATCTTATCTTATATAATATTATAATTACTTGTTGATATTCTGTTAATTGTGCTGAAGTATGTGTGAAAACTTAAGACTGAAGGACTTTAAGCTGAACAGCCGTGAGTCGATCGTGAAAGTGTCAAGAAATTCTGAATGTCGACTTGATGCTTGTTGGAAATGTTGGAAGTGTCTCCCACGAT